AATCGGTTTTTTTTTCCGTATTTTACGACTTTTTTTGCAAGCACTCTAGCGGCAAGGGAAAGCATTTTGGAAAAAAATGTCAAGAGACAAAAATGTTCAGGACACATTTCTCTATCTGGTCTGATAATTCGAGAAAAATCTGTGACAGTGCATTGAGCACGCTATGCTGGAAAAGTGCGTTTCTATCGTGCACTGCCTCTTAAAGAAACAGTGGTTACAGTTGGATATGAGTAATATAGAAAAAGCTCTCACAGCATAAAAAGTTTGTTTAAAGAGAATTTTATCGTTTTGCAGCATACTTTATTTAACAAATGCACTACTTCTGTTTGCTTTTGTCGTAGATGCGCCCAAATGTCGGCATCCAAGTGTCGCGCGCCTAAATGTCTGGTAATCAAAGAAAACGCTTTAATGGAAGCTTTTTTAATGAAAGTCACCCAATGCCGATATATAGTTAAATGCATAAACGGGAGATACACTTGTGTTTCGCTGAGTGTATGTTGTATCATTTGTTCTGAACGATCTTATAAAAAGATTTTCATAAATAATCATTTTAGGAGGATCCTTCTCATGTATTCTATCAAAATCCTCCGAAAATTATCACGAAAAAATGACTTACATAAAACATAATCTTCATAGAAAGAATAAAAAGTATTATTTGAATATTTTTAAAGATTTTTAATGGAAGTCCTTTTCTTCCAAAAAGAAGACTGTTTTAGATCATTCACATATTATGCAGACGAGAAGTAGTTGCATTACGACTACTTTTTGTGCAACTACTTTCATGTACTAAAGCTAGTACCTTCCTACAATGCTCTGACCATAGCGCCATATATCGCCTATCAGTAGAAATTTTGTAGGTTGATTTGATTGGGCGGAATTAACTGTCTAACGTTGTCCCTTGTCTTTGCTCTAGTCTCTTTGCGTCTTTCTGCTCATCTATTTCTTTTTCAGATCATAATTTTGTTTATTCCAGATGACTAATAAATATAGATTAAACTAAACTAATTTTCTTTATAGTGAACATCTAATTTTTATTTTTCTATCAGCGTATTAGTAATAATATTGTAATTTTACTTGTTATAAGTACTCGCAATGCAACTACTTCCTCCTCGTTAGTATCGGTATAGTGAGTGCTCTTTTTGAACTTAGAAAATATTTCTTACCATGTATTATACAAAACGTAGTCAAAGCTTCAATACTTCTAAAAATTTCCCAGAATCTACAAGAGAAAGGAAGAGTTTCTTTGATTCAGCGAGTGAAAACCTTATTTTATTCACTGGTTCCATTCTGTACTTACTTTTGCCCTCATCACACATCTTTCTTATTCGCCGACACATACTGTCTATCACTGATATTAATCGTACCTTTTGGAAGTAGTTGCAATTTATCTACTTCTACCTTAACCACATAATATTGAAATATTCCATTCATGAAAGTCATTTTCTTTCATAAAATGTTTAAACCAGGAAAAACTTCTTATTTTATTCAAAAAATAAGAAGTTTTTAATAACGTTTAGACAATAGCTATTTAATACGAGAAAAAATAGAAAGAAATCTTTTCTTTTCAAACTTATTCAAACGTCTTATATTTGCCTAATATTCTAATTTTTCTATATTCTTACTTTCCAATCTATATGAGATCTCAAGAGGAAGAGCTGGCTACGTACCACTAGTGGATGATGTGAATGGCTCTATTTGCGGCTGATTACTAGTGGCTCCTGATGCACTTGATGTTTTTGACGTAAATAATGAAGTGAATGATTGAACAGGTGAAGTTGGTTTTGTTTTCGATGGTTTAGTTGGTTTTGGTCGTTTAGAAGTCTTTGACTTCGTGACAGGAGAAAGTTTTGTTCGTCCTGTTATTTGGAACAAAGCTGAAACAGAGAAAAAGTAACTCTTGTTGTATCTCTTGTTTGACAGTCTTTACTTGTATCGGTTCCAGTTTTTGGAGTTTGTAAACGTTCTTTTGTAAATGCAGGAGTTTTCTCAGAAGAGAATGACGTTGGTTGGCGTGGGTTCACACCAGTAGTTTTTGGCGCAATGGTTGAAATGAATACAGAGAATAACGATGTCATTTGGCTAGTTGTTATTCTTGAACTGCGGATAGTACTTTTCTCGGGTGTTTGTGTTTCAACACTAGGCTCGTGTGATCTTGAGATTGTTTTTAATGAGAAGGACGGCGGATTTGAAACAATCTGAGTGAAGGAGACATCTGCAGCTTTACTCGAGGTTGAAGACAGCTGTTGTGGCCGATTACTGATCGTTGATGTCGTTAGTATCTGCGGTGTTGTTGAATTATTATTACTACTACTACCATTACCACCGCTCGAGGTTGAAGACAGCTGCTGTGGTTGATTATTGATCGTTGATGTCGTTAGTATCTGCGGTGTTGTTGAATTATTATTACTACTACTACCATTACCACCGCTCGAGGTTGAAGACAGCTGTTGTGGCCGATTACTGACCGTTGATGTCGTTAGTATCTGCAGTGTTGTTGAATTATTATTACTACTACTACCATTACCACCGCTCGAGGTTGAAGACAGCTGCTGTGGTTGATTATTGACCGTTGATGTCGTTAGTATCTGCGGTGTTGTTGAATTATTATTACTACTACTACCATTACCACCGCTCGAGGTTGAAGACAGCTGCTGTGGTTGATTACTGACCGCTGATGTCGTTAGTATCTGCAGTGTTGTTGAATTATTATTACTACTACTACCACCGCTTGAGGGTGTTAAACCGAAGAATGTCATGTCTAAAGAGGAAAAATAACTCACATTAGATAGTAGTTTCTTAAATATTCTATTATATTCTTTGAAAGAGTTCACATAAGGACACTATTTCTAGTAATGAAATATTGAGCAGTCCTGTTAATAAAGGTCGCGTGAAGAGGAAATAATTTTCTCGCGGACAAGCAGAAGACAATTATGTAAATTGAAATCTTCAAACAAGATGGGTGCGTCCAACTGTGTCTGAGAAAATTAACATTTTTCATTCAACTCCAGTTTGAGTCCTTAAAGTAGTTTCGTGAAACTTATGCAAACATTTTCAAAAAAACGAAGCATTTGAAGAAAACTTTTCGCTGGCAAAGTTGTTCAGGATAATCCTCTTCATATTAACTGAATTTAGGGAGAATATGAAGTCTGGTGAAGATAAATTAAAGCATGCACGCCATCTACACTTACAGCTGATCTCATCAAATCGAATGACAATAAATATTTGAGTTGTTACTCTTTGTACCAGGCCGTTTTGACAAATCAGTGTAAAGCAATCAATAGACAAAGACAGGCGAAACTGAACTATCATTTGAGCTAATGTTTCTGAATAATTAACTGCTTTTGTACCATAAAAATACTGTATTAAACCTTCTACGGTCTGCGAAGGTGCTCGACGTTTTCTCTAAATATATGCATAGACTTAGTTATGATTCTTTCGTTATTTCAACAAAACTTCATTAGCGGTTTTTCACTTCATAACACCGTCATTTCAACGATGTTTTGTTGAAAAAGTTAAAAGCAACATATGAAAGTGCGAAGTTTTGTTGGCATCAAAGATACAGGCAAAAGTTGCGTTTCAATCCTTGCGGTTGATGACGCGGATTTTTTGACGGTTTCCGTTAATCCAACTTGGAGTGTAATCAAAATTGCATGCTAGTGGTAAAGAGTCTAAGTGAGCAGCATATGCATGACAATGTTAGTTTGTATAACAAACATCTTCGAACAGGAATCAATCCAAACATTTCACCATTTATCCTTAACTTTATCTAAGATTTTATTCAGATCGTAGTATAGGTCGCTCTTCCTGCGCAATGACTCTAAGGCCTTTCTAGTCGACTGTTTGTGAAATGCAGCAGAAAACGTTACTAAATGACAACATCAGACTAGAAAGGATTCAGTGAAAACCAAAAGGATGTCAAGTACATATGTGGAGAAATGCATCTTCTATACATCGCTGCAGCGTAGACGTCTACAAACATTTGACTTTTATCGAATGCAGTGCAATGTTCTGGTGTGGAAGTCATAGATTTGTTTATATGTCTGTATAGAAGAAGGTCTAACGAAGAGAAGAAGAAGAACTGCATTATTTGTTCGAGATCTCTGTTTATTGTGCCAGTTGACTTTTGAAGAGAAGATGAGTAGTGAAAGAGACTGGTGTCATTCATACAAACTGAAATGAGAATCAAGACCCTCTCCTAATTCATCAATATAACTGAGAAATAAGAAAGGGCCCAGAATTGATCCTTGAGGGACACGCAGTTTATTTCCAAAAAATCAGACGAAAAAGCATCGACAACTGTTCTTATTTTCTATTATTGAAGTAATTTTCAGTCCACTAACTGTCTTGTACACATACCCTTTTATCTCAGCTTGAAAATTATTCCTCTATGCCGTACACTATCGAATGCCCTTGTTTCAAATTTTTGATATGTACCGTAGGACTCAGTTGAATTTCCTCCTTTGCACTTTTTGCTCATATTATTACTGTTTACTTACGTAATGACAGTTAATATATAGAAAGAATGTATGAATGTTGCCACATCCAGTGACATATTAATCTCGGTTAGCAAATAATGATTATAAGAAAAGTACAATTCCTAGAAACATCCGTGAAAATATTATTAAAGTGCTGATATGTCTGAAAGACCTCAGAAATTAAACGTAGTCATCGTTTGTAAAACAGTTGTCTTTCAGTAAATATTAAAAGTCAACACTTTTAATTCACCCCGCAAGTAGAGGAAGATCACAGCTACATTCTGGTACAAACAGAAAGTGTTCAAGTCGGATCCCACTTACGCGGGAAGTACCCCGACTGATAAATCGCTTTTTCAACGAAACCGCGTGTATTATAGATAGTCGGCGATGCTGATTCCGAATATCACCATGAATGCTGCTGCTAGGCCTTCAAAGACCGGTCTTCTGGAAAACTAGTTTTTGAGAAACTCTGATGAGCAACCAAAAGCTTTCTTAATGAGGCGTAATTGTAGTCCATAAATGTCTGATTAAAACGAGGCATCTCCCAGCTCTGCACGACCTTTCTTTGCAAAGTTATAGAGTTTACAAGAAAGCCTTAAATATGATGTGACTACTAAGCGTCTTTCTCGTTCACAGGTCTTCCATGTGACTCCAATGTGACTTCTATATGCCTACTAGTAGACACATTGAAGACATATAGAAGACACCTATTATTTTGAAGACGCAATATAGTTACATGCAAGACACTTTTTCTCAGCAGACACATCATAGAAGTCGCATTTTCTTTTAGAGTGTAGTTTTTTCCCTTATAATCATTGTTTGCTAACCGAGATTAACATTTCACGCGATGCAGCATCATTCATACATTCTTTCTGTATATTAACTGTCATTATGCAAGTAAAAAGTTGAAAAGCGGGAAAATTCAATTGAGCCTCACTGCATATATTAATAAGCCTATATCTCTAAGCCTGACAAAAGTTCGTACGTTTCATATGCAACAAGTAAAAGATTGTTGCTTTTTAAAAATACGATTGTTTCTAGTAAAACGTAAAAACTTAATTTGTTCTTGACTTTTAAATGTGTGAAAAGGAAATGATATTATCCGGACATAAAGCTCTAAAATCAATAATTTCAATTGAAAGTCTACTCATAAAATAATAGAACCTACTATATAACACTCACTCACCTTTTTTTCAATGTTTTGTGGTTGTCTTACGACTACGTTGACCACTTCAACTTGCGTATGTTGTCTCCGACTGCCGCTGGTTGCATTATCCAACTGCTGTTGCAGCTAAAAGAAGACCGAGGCTATTAAACTGTAATTCAACGAGTTTACTTCTTACTATATTTTGCAACACTCTATATCTTGATTGTGGTACTTGCCCATTAGCAATCAATGAACTGTCGAATGCGGGTAGATTATAAAGGATTTGAATAATACTACTTTCTCCTAAAAACAAAAACAAAATACAATTGTCTCTGGCTTACTAAAAGTTGTGAGGTGAACTTACGTTGTTGGGTGTTGATATTATGTCTTTGTAAAAAGACCGGGATAAGGGCAATCACGATTACGCCTGCAAATATGAAACCGAGCAGGCCCAAACAGCACAAAGCCAGTAATGGTAGACCTGCAAGTCTAAACCATAAAATACATATGGATAGGCGGATGGAAGAGAGGAAGAAGGTATATACCTCTTCAATGAAGATGAGACCGCTTGATACTCGCGCAGTGTCCTCATTTGGAATTGTACTTTTCCGGAACAGAAGTACAATTATGAACCAATTTCTATTATAAAAGACATAGGTAGGTCATGTAGAAAATCATCCCACAACAGATCAATTTTTGTCTGTTCGAGAACAGTCGAAATGTGCCGAAATGATAGTTCTCTTAGAATATGCGTTTGAAAATAGAATTCGTTTACAGTAACAGGTTGAAAACTTGCGCAATGGATCCAAAAATCCCAAAAACAATAGGGAAGGCCTTATACCAGCAGAACTCACGAGAAAACAAGAAAGATACAGCCTTAGCACCTTCCGTAAATTGAATGCTGCTTCATGAGAAAATGTCATAGAGAGCTCGGAGACGTCTCACTTTCTTCAAAAATGTTTGCTCTACACGATGAAGCTATTTACAAAGCATTTCTACATTGAACTTGAGGACTCGGTTGTCTGAAATCTTAGTTTGTTAGAGATTCTGGTTTTACGAGTTTTCACAGAACCTTTGTGTACAGCACATTAGATGGGAAATTCTTTCAGCTGTTCAAATCTTTTTTCTAAAGGTGGCAAATAAGTTTTGGACCCACTGTCGATTTAAGTGGCAAAGTATTTAATACACAAGCACCACTGTGAAGCTTAGGTTTCCTATTAGCAGACAGTGTAGACTTTTCTACGGTGCATCGAATGATGTATGAACGATTAGAGATCTCGATCTGTGGACGAAACTATAATCATTTTGCCTGCCACTTCGGTTAAAATCGAGATGCCGGCCAAGTATTTGTCCAATACATCTATGAAGACATTAGTTTGAAAAGGTGTGTATATGTCATTTTGAAGCCCGTTTAATTACGCATGTTTTCGTATATAACATTCTGTTAAGAATGTCGAACTTACAGAGAAAAATGAATAAGTACGATCGAATAGGCTTTTTAGACTGATGCTCAGAAATGATTAAAAATTCCAGCATATGGTAGTCTATAATCAACTTTGAAGGCGCAGAAATATTAAAAACTACATAACGGACGGTTTCTGGTCAGTTTCAGTCGTTATCTTCTCAAGAATATATGGGGCCACTGTCCTTTCGTCACTACAGTAGCCGTTTTGGGCAGAACGCAAGTAGTAATCGGAATCTGCATACTAGCTGAAGTTAAAGGGATATATGTTCAGTGTTTTTATCCCTTAGATTATTTTGATCAAAACCAGTTCGGCTTTCGTACCCACAGGAAACTTTCGTATTGGATAATAAGTTATCATACCGACTCTCTATTCGGTTCAGAAGTGAAATAGATAATTTTTAAATAAAGTGAGAAAATATATATTTGAAAACAGCAGCACATTACACTTGAACTCTACAGGATTTCCACAAAAAAGGCTGCCACCTGCAGCGAACTTCGCGTCAGTTCCAGACCAAATCTTTACCCAACCATAGCACAAATTTTAGAATCACCCTCCCACTATCTTAGTGTAGAACACAATATACTTTCAGTGGAGCACATCCCTTATTACATTGAAAACACAAAACCGTTTACTTTAAACTCATCGTACTCCATTTCTTTTACTTCTTCTCTTCGCTGCTTAGAAAAGTTCTGTTGGTATGTACCAGATCTCCATATAGATTGGACTGAGTTCATAGTCCAGTCCACATGGATTGGACTGAAAATGTTTTGAGTCCATGGACTCGGACTGAACTGAAACTTTCAAGACCATGGACTAGCCTGAACCCGAAAAAAAATTTTGGATTCACCTGAATCAAGGAAAAACAGGTTGTATTTGTGCCGTGGACTGGGCTGGATTACCTTTGCAGAGCTCATGAACTGGACTCAAAATTTTGAGTCCATATGGAGCTCGTTTTATGTGCAAATAATAGTCATCAGATTTTCTAATAATATCCTTTCCCCACATTTCTATACACGTACGTACAGCTTAACATCTGAAAGTTTAATATTTCGGAGGAGAATTGCCTTTAGACTATAATCCTCTTCAAAAAGATATATCTATCTATTGTCCTTCTATCTGTTGCCTCGCGGAATTCATTTGAAATTAAATAACGATAGAGAAAAAGTATTAGATCTTTCACCTTTACAGAGCTCGAGTTTAACTGAAGTTTCACGTTTCCCTAAATTTCCTTTCTATTTACTATGAAAGACTTCCAAAAAATACTCTTCATTCTAGATTCATTCTCAATTCCGTACCTCTCTTCGTATTTTTTCCTTTTATTCTGACATATTTTTCAGAAGGCTTACGTAATTAGATTTAGCTTTCAAAACACTAAAAGACGCACTTTCCAGTAAAACACTACTGTGAACAGGTCGGAGTAATACAAGAAACGTTCGAACAATACGACTGTGGTATTTGCATCACGTAGAGACATACATGAAACGACATCAAATATTGTCCTTGTCTCCATCCCGCTTGTTTTTCATTCCTTCTCAGGCTTTTAAACAGAAAAACTGCAGTTTCCACTACCTAAACGCAATATCAGTCCTTTCTAACATGCAAAATCAATTCTTTTTCGCATGTTGCTATCCACAATGATAAAGAAAACCTGAGAAGTAATTACTAAATAAACAAAAAACAACTATACCAATAGACTAGGCTCGCAAATGATATACTGGAACAAACAGGCATCCCTAGCGAAAGTTCTTGAAGCCAAGGAAGATCTTGGAACATTTCTTGACCAACAAATGATTCTTGAGCTCTGTTACACATTTCTTGCGGCAAGAAAACTATTTATTGGGCAAGAATCAACACATACAGTTTCTTCGCTGTTTCTAGCAGCAAAACAGGAAATTAAGAAACACATTTCTTGTAAGCAAAAACATTAGGCAAAATCGACTTTTTATACGGAGAACAGAATCGGTTCAAATTTTTTTTCTCAAGACTTATTAAATGAATCGACGGTCAGCAAAGTATCTCTTGATTCAAATCACTTTTCGCATTTTGGCGCGAATAGTGCGCCACTTAAGTAGCGCGTTTTAAGTGGCGCCACTGTTCGCGCCAAAATGCGAAAAGTGATTTGAATCAAGAGATACTTTGCTGACCGTCGATTCATTTAATAAGTCTTGAGAAAAAAAATTTGAACCGATTCTCTTCTCCGTATAAAAAGTCGATTTTGCGCTAATGAATACATTTCTTCAAGAAATGTATCATAAGTGCATACACCCCCTATACATAGATGTACGCACCCTCACCAATGTATTTCTACGGGGGAGGGTTCTTGTAAGCAAGAAATACGTTTCTTGTAGGTAAGAAATACATTTATTGAAGAAATGTATTTCTTACTTAAATTGATCCGCTGTACTATCGGCGTTCCTTGGCATTTTGAGCTGGAAGAAATATAGAAAAATATTTGCCACTCTAATGTTGCAACCTGAAATGCTAAAGCAAACCGATACTGCAGTGGATGAATTTCCTACAAAGAAAATGTCAGAAGTACTTAGTGGGCATTATTCGCCTCCGGGAAAAATCTTAGAAGATAGTAGTGCCGCACACTTACAGCCCATAAAATATAAAATGATACATATGCGTACGACAGCGCACGATACGGTGGCCAATGAAAGGATTGCACCACTGGTCATAGAGAGCGTTTAGTAAAACACCGAGAAGTCTTCTTGGGACACGGAGCTTTTGAACATTTTTAGATAGGCTCAAAGAGAACTTCCTCCTCTACCTATCTGTAAAAAATATCAAAAAAATACTTAAAATTAACAAATTTATACTAATTAGCAGTCCAAAGAGCATAAAATCGTTTCCAATTGGCCCAGTTTACTCCATGTCAATGGATGTTTGAAAAATTTGACTCTTGCTAGACTGATATTTCTTTTATGCTTCGGTATTTCTTCAAAAGAATCAATTTTTGCCCTCGCTTTGATGAGCATATTATTTTTCAATACTTGCATCCTCATTTTAGACTATATTTACTCTAAGTATTCTAATAGATTTTATCATTTCTACAGTGTAATCTGATATATAAAATTTTATTCCTAGGCGATATAATAGATAATACTCATAGTCAGGCAATTGCGATCTCCGTTTCAGACTCTCGACAATAATACACAAAATGTTTTCTTTTCCTGTACGACAGCAAAAGTAAGTATGACTTTTTTATTGTAATTATTGTAACCAATGCATTCGTCTTCGTTCACCTTGACAGGATAGTTCTTTTTATGATTATTTGTACAAAACAGAAAGAGAGTATACACATTCGCATATCATTCATTAAACTGGCCTTTTCATTTGTATTTTCTCATTTATCAAATAGATGTGAGAATCAGAAGAAAACGTAGGTTAACAAGGATTCAGTAGACTAATCACGTCTGTATGCTTGACTACACAACCACATAATATGGTGTGTCTCTCTCTCTCACTTACTTTCTTCATACCCTAGAAGTTAATCCGTCGTATATTTGCCGCTGTCGCTTGTTTTTGCGATCTTATAGAAATTATTCACACGAACTGACAAATCGTAGCAGATATTAATATTCTAAAGGAGAGGAACGAACACGATATTCAGGTATTATTGTCATATTGCAGCTTACTAAAGTAAGTAGTCTATGGGTTAAAGGTACTCTATCTTGTCTTTTGATATGACCAGTGGTGCAATCCTATCATTTCTTCAAGAAATGTATTATAAGTGCATACACCCCCTATACATAGATGTATGCAGCCTCACAAATGTATTTCTTCGGGGGAGGGTTCTTGTAAGCAAGAAATACATTTCTTGTAGGTAAGAAATACATTTATTGAAGAAATGTATTACTTACTTAAATTGATCCGCTGTACTATCGGCGTTCCTTGGCATTTTGAGCTGGAAGAAATATAGAAAAATATTTGCCACTCTAATGTTGCAACGTGAAATGCTAAAGCAAACCGATACTGCAGTGGATGAATTTCCTACAAAGAAAATGCCAGAAGTACTTAGTAGGCATTATGCGCCTCCGGGAAAAATCTTAGAAGATAGTAGTGCCGCAGACTTACAGCCCATGCGTATAAAATCTCATAGCGTAGTTTCATCAAACTAGGTAACATTCATTTAATCTACTGGTTCTTTTAATTTCCAGCTTCTTCTTTCGCTGATACATATGCGTACGACAGCGCACGACATCCTGGACATGCCAATGACAGGATTGCACCACTGG